GGCAGTCTGCTTGCACAAAGATTTATGTCTTGGAAACACTATGGGGGCAGTTCTTTTATTTTTTTATAGGGTCGCTATGAGTGGGAATCGACTGGAGGACAGTGGGTCAAGAGTTGGGGGCTGGTTGGTGAGGTGGGGTGGGACACCTGAGCAGGCCCTGCAGAGCTTATGTAACAGACCTTTGCTTTCCTACCATGTCGTTAGACCCGGGCCATGGAGTTTGAATCAGGATCGTTACACGTGCTGAGTAATAGTAGAGCAGGGTGTTGCTGCTCATTCTTGTGATCCTCCAACTTCATCCCTACGTTTGGCTAGAGAAGCAGGATATTAGAAGTAGGGAGAGCTCCTGCATGCACTTTGGGATCTCTGCACATATGGAGCCCTGGTCACTTACCAAACATGATTTCTCCTTTATCTCCCAGAATTACTAGTATGGGCTATGGAACTATTACTTGTATCATTTTTGGAACATGTGCATATGTGCATGCCAGGAGCAGTGCAGGAGCATAGTTAGGTATGTAACTAGTGGTCTTGATTGTTTTTGTAATTTGACAGGTTTTTTGGGGCCATAAGTATTTGCCTTATAGCAGTATGAAGTCTTGTCCTTTTTTGGGAAGTGGTTGATTGATAGCAGTCATGTGAATGGTGTGATCCAGCTCCTTTCCCAATTTGTGCAGGTTCAAGTGAGGGCATCTTCTGGATCTTACCAGACACATAAGCTAGTAGGAGATCTCCCTTTACCCTGTATTTAAACGTGTATGAATTAGAGAGCTGTCTGGACACCCTATGAGTTTGAGTAGCCCTCCCCTTGTCTCTAATTTCATTATGGCCAATATAAGATTGAAGATAGCCTTCTATGCCTTGCCTATGGAGATAGTCAGAAGAACTCAATATGGCCATGAGAAAGACCTATGCTGACATTTTCCCCAGTGGCATGGGCCTTTGTAATCTGGACGAAGAAGGGATCACAGCCATCCTAGTATTAGATAGAGGCCCATTATGGTCCTCAGACAACCCTACGGAAGGGTATTTTATTTTTGTTGTTAGTTGCCATTGAGTCAGCTCTAACTTGTGTTGACCTTATGTATAACAGAATGAAATGTTGCCTGGTCCTATGCCATCTTCGTGATTACTGGTATGTTGTTGTTGTTGTTGTTATGTGCCGTCGAGTCGGCCCCGACTCATAGCGACCCCTCCTTGGGTTTCCGAGGCAGTATCACTACG